AATAGTCTCGACTGATAAGAGGGGTGGCCGGACGTATAAGGTAGTCCGATTGCTATCTTACAATTGGTTCATTTGAATTTTTGTTTTATTGTGATTGGTTTGACGGATTTCGTCTGATAGCCAACTGAACTAATCAACTGAACAACTTGGGGCTTTTCAGTTTATGATCATTGATCATTCAATCATTACACAGTTATACTACATATTGTTTAAGATTTGAGAAAACTAACATTGATTACATGAGAAGCTGTTTACTATAACCTGTGATTTTGAGTCTTCTGATCCATGAAGCTTTTTATTTTGACAATTTGACTGGAATGGTATTAAACCTTAGTATTTCACATACATGAAATGTTGTCCCATGTCACATATTGTCCACTTTTCTAACTGAACACCTCATGTAGAGATGTAAAGGTGTGTTAATCTATGGCTCATACCAGATTGTTTGCCATAAATTGTAAAGGGCTATTGATGTATAAAAAGCATTTTCTATAAAGTAAAAATGTCTTCCTATGTATGCAGATAAACCTTGAAATTTGGCAAAACAGCAAAGTATTTCTCATGATCACTAGGTAATTTTTCTGATGATCATTATAATTTCTAAACTAAATTATTTCAGATTTACATTTAAACGAGCTTTGATCATATGAAAAGATATTTATCATAACCAGTAAGCATGACACATGAGCCAATTTTAACATTCATGTATTTGCAAATACAATGCTACTAGTGATTGCTATATAGCACACTTTTCATATACTTACAGAAGATAATAGTCTAGTGAAATTCCTAAAAGCAAATTTTCACTGTGATAATTTTTGCTTAATCTTTGGCAGAAAAAAATTTTGAGTTTTTTCTCAAAGGTGAATTTGCTGGCACTGATGTGGAGATGGGTAAAGGGTTACAATAAACTTGCATGGTTTGAAGTCTGAGCTTTTCTATATCTATGAACTGTTACTTGTAGTACCAAATTTCTAACTTAACTCATTACATAGAGGTTTGAATGGGGGTCTCTAGGGGGGTCTATGCCTGACAACTTGGTAGAAATTTTTAAAGACTATATCTGTTTTTGAATAGCATTATTGTAAAATAAACTCTACGTTCTTAGACATGCTAATGAGCCATATATTTGGCATGATAATGAGCCTAAATATTTGGCAAAACATTCAAGTATTGTTCACTTCATATTTTTTTTTGAAAAAAACGTAAGCAAAATGTGTTGTTTTTACGCAAAAACAATGCCCACAAAATACATTTTGTATTGCTCTAAAACGCTGAAAATGGCATTTTTAAGGCTCTGAAATTCAAAGTTTCTTAGGGGAGAATGCCTCAGACCCCCCAGGGGCGGAGCGCCTCCGACGTTTTATGAGTGATGTTTGAAAAATCCTAGATCCGCCCCTGTCGTTCATGTTAGTAGAGTCCTGAAAAGGACCGTTGTTATTGATGTAGACTGACGTGTCGACAACCTTAGCGGTAGTCATCTTCAGAGTCAAATGAGGGGTAAATGTTAGGTTAGCCGAATTTGTTAGCTGGTTCTTACGTCATTGTATTGTGTGTACAGGAAATGTGTGGGTGTCAACTGCGTGTTGTCATCGTGGATTAGTGTAAAGTGTAATGTTTTTGTTGCTTGTTTGTTGTATTGTGAATGAGTCATTTTTAAGGTGCTAGTAATTGCTGTGATCTGTTCAGGGAGTTTTGTTACAAGTTGTCATATCAATTTTCTAAGGTAATTTACACTTAAAATTTTAACAACTGCAGTTCATGATGACGCTGTTTGCACCTGGATATTTTTAGTACTACTCTATCGTATGTAATGTTTAATTTGCCAGAGTAATTGTTTTATGTTGCTTTGTCTCATGTTTTTAGTTTGGTGAGAGAAACATTTTGACAAATTTTGGACAAACTGGATGGATGAAATGAATGAAAAAATAAAAAAAGACATTTTGAATATTGGTAATTATACAATGAGATATTTTTGTCTGTTTTAATGATTCACCAATATTTGTCCTAACACGGTTTTCGTATTTAAATAAAAAACATATGAATTGGACGAGATTTAAACTCACATCTTTAAGATGCCAGTCCACCACTCTATGTGTTGAGCTACCAAGCCCACAGGGGTTGAAGACACTGATATCGAAAAAGACTGTATCAAGCAACTCTATATTTGTCTGGTAAACAAATTTTGAAGCCAACCCTGCCGTTATTACGGGACCAACACATTGAAAGATTTTTTAACAAAACTATGAAAAACATAGGAACACATGGCCAAATCATGCTTTAAGTAAACACAGAAGATGAAAAACAACCTTTGTGGCCATAGTAAAGCGAGTCAGAAACATTGAGTTTTATTAAATTACCTGGAGTTGAAGAGGGGTATGGACAGGGGTATCAAAAATATGGATGCCACAAGGAAACCTTAGGTGAAAAACTTCCACTTGAAAAATTATTTTTATCATTCACTCCTCCCAGTGGCTGAGCTTAAGTTGAGTACTTGACAACTGACTAAGTATTGTATGTAAACTGTAGAAGACAAATTTTTTTTGGTTTTGTGGTCAAGTCTTTTTATTTCGAAACGCGGCTGCGAAGTACTTGTTCTGTTTATCAGTGCAAAATTGCAGAGTTATGGACGCGTGCATTGAAAACTTTTTATTTGCTCTATTATTTTGCCACCCAGAAACCATACAATATTTTGGCTATTTAGAAAGAAAGTTTTGAAATATAAGACTTGCTGTTACGAGTTACGACTGCGCAATAACAATATAAAATTTGAAGATATTCCGGGGGAGTGCAAAACTTTTCATTGAATGAGGCCACGTCATTTTTCACCCAAAATTTGCCATATTTGGTATACACACATGGCTAGACTTGTCTGAAACCACTTAGAAGCTGATTTGCCGCTATGCTTGTATCTCGCGTGAACTGTTTTATTTGCGTGACGGATTGTTTTGCCGTCACGTAAATAAACTGCTAACTTGGAAATACAATTCTAGCCTAAGTGTTTTATTTTTTTCAAAACCGTTGGCAAAATTTGGTTATTAATGTGTTAATATGCATTGTGGACGTTCCAAGGATTGTTTTGTATAAGTAACGCTGTATTATATGAAACATAAAAGTGAGAACTTCCTTCGAAATATGAATTTTTCATATGTCATCGAAAGACTAAAAATTTAAGATAAAACTGATAACAGGTAGTCTGTATCTTTGATTGCTGTGCAAAATACACACAATCCACTTAAAATAACATGTTTCATAACAGTTTTATTGCTTTTAAAGTTAGACTTGCTTTGTAAGAATTTCACATGCTCTTCTTTTAATGTGTGAAGTTGATGATTTGAAATTTTGAACTGTGGGTGGTTGTTGGTTCTTGTCATTTACTTCTCCCACTTCTCAAGAACTGGTGGAAGATTTGACATGCATCCATATTTGTGTATTGAGCATTTTATCAGCAAGTTCATGCTTATAAATAAATAGCCAAGTGTACAACATGACAAGTATTGCTAAGATGACCTGTTCTAGATAAATGCCAAAAAGCATCCATCATCCTCAGTGGTTTGAACCAGTGTTTTAAAATGGTTAAAAAGCCAGCAAAGCTATATAATACATCAAAATTTTACAGTTTATCATATTGATTATAAAATTAGTTTTCTCTTGTAATACAGATGATGATAAATGTAAATGAAATGTATTATACTTCAGGATTTGTGTTTAAAATGTTTGGTCATATTTGTGAAAGTATATGATGATTCTATAATATTTGACTAATAACCTTTTTCATACTTCTATTACATTACAATTTTTGCTTAAGTGTTTCAAAAGTTATGAATATGGAGTGTCATTTGTGTTTTTTGTCTTTTTCTAAGTGGGTATTGACCCTTTTTTAATATTGTCTCTTTAATGGTGCAATTAATAATAACACAATAATATAGGATAACAGTTTTTTTTAAAACGAACTCAAAATATTTTTTGCCAACTTTTTGAAATAGTTTGCAAAGTGTTTTTCTTTTTGTTTACGCTCTGAACTTTCAAAAAGGACTGGGGCGAGCTAATTTTGAATACAGAATGAAATGCCATCAAATATTTATTTTTTGTCGGTAAGCAGGCAAAGTCGCAGTATAGCAAGATGTCACTGAATGTCATTTGAAATTGGAACATTATGCTAATTTCTTTTTCTAATTGATTCTGGGGATCGGCATTTAATCTTGGTCTTATAAAGGCATAAAACATGAAGAAACCTTGTCTTTATGTTTAGATGAATCAAAATGTTAATCCAGGTTCTATAAATGATGCAACAATATCTTCAAATCATAATTGTCTCAGGTATTGCAAAATATTCAAACTTATTTGATTTCATGAAACATTCCACGAAAAGAATAAAACTGTTCTTTTGAGCTGTGTTTTAGCGGAAGGTACACACAATAAAGTTGTCATCATAGCATATCCCTTTATTTACATTCTTTTTCTGTGCCACGCATTTTAATGTATTTTTCAAAGATTGATCTAGTGTTTGTAAACATTGATGATACATTTCTGTGTTTTATCTTATAAAACTTGAATATTAAGTTATGATGATTTGGAAAATGATGTAGAGAATACTTAATTTTTAAATTTTATGTTGTCGTGAATATGATGACAACAGATGCAAACAAAACGTTAATTGCCTCCCCTCATGGTTAGAGAAATTGAAAAATGAGAGAAAAAAAACATTACAAATTTACTCAATGCATCTTGTAACTTAATCTAGTTTGAAAATATATAGTTAGTATATTAATAAAAAATGTTAGGCTTTCAAACGTATTAAACAAACTTCTCAACCATTTTATTTTTGTTAATTTTACAAGATGTAAAAAGAGAAGTTTTTAATGTTATATTTTCAAGATTTTTTTCAATTACAAACTATTCTTTCTTAGGAAAGACTAAATCATTAAAATTTTGTTGCTCATGTCATGACAATGTAATTGCAAGTGGCAAGTGCAAGTGACATTCTCTGTAAGCAGGCGGCAATCAAAGGCAATCTCCTCAATGGCCCAATGCGCCGACGCCGATTCCAAAGCCGACGCCGTTGTCTGTATATGCCTAAAATTTCAAAAGAAAAGTCAAACAAAAAAAAGAATTTTCTCATAAGATATTATTTAGCTACTGTTCTGTCCCAAAATTTTGACCGACGTAAAAACGCTGCGAAAGAAATCATTTCAAAGATGAAAATGCAAAACACATCATAGTTCAAATCAAGCCTTTTACTTTTAAAAATATGCTGCGGAAGAAGTCAAGTCAATCAACGTTTGGGAGGTCCGTACGGAAAAAATATTTTCACGTGGTCAATATGCATGTTGAAACTAAAATTGGATTGTTTTCTAGGAGCTTTGCTTCCCCTGTATAATAAAATTCACTCTTGCTATGATAACTTTCATCCGAATACACTTAATTTGATTTGTCGTTGAACAATTTGTATCGATTTTAAACAATATTTGAAAATTTCCATTTCACTTCGTAAACAAATACATTTATTGTAGAGATATCGTATAAAGCTTCCAGCTGAGGTAGCTAATCAAATTGTTGGAAATCAAAACAATCGCTTTAGACTGTTAAGCAAAAAATAAAATGAAATATGTTCAAGAAAGTCGCTAAAAATTCTATGGTTCTCAATTTTATTTTTCTAGCTTTAGCAAGAAAATACAGTCCAACATTTTTTAAGTTTTTAACAGCTATTGTTATATCCTCCATCAAGAAAAAAATGCAAAGAATAAATTTTGTATAGGTAATAGCATGGTTTCGAGTGAAATTTGAGAAAAATTTTCACAAGTGAGTTTTTCAAAGTTTTTTAATTCTCTTGATTTTCAACATAAGCGTACGTACATTTCACTCGGCAAGTTATTTATAGCCTATCGATGGAGCGGCTCGTTTCATTAAACTGTCAGGCTGATTAACCAATCAGCTCGATCAAGCAAATAGGAGCACATTTAAAAAAATAAATTGCACTATGTTTCCTTTTTTATTGCATTGTGTTTCATATTTTTGTGCTGGTGTTTACGATAAATTGCACTCCTCTAAATCAATCCGAATTGAGAAATTTTTTATGCATATTATTAAGAAGTTAGCACTCTATTCGCCCTTAAAGTGCTCCTATCAATAAAAACGTTTATTTGAAATATAAAAATAGGTGGAATGTCTTATGTATCAGGGAAAAAAAAATTCAGTATGGTTAAATCATCTTTTTGTTATGAAGGTTGAAAGTTGATTTTCAATGGATCATGTCTATGGTGGCAGGAAGTCTGGGTCAACCTAATATATATATATATTGTATAGAGAATCCCTTGCATAACATCACAAAGTAAGTCATTCTAGGCTTTTCAAACGAGGGAAAAGGTCTATTAAAAGTAGCATTTTTGCCAGTTTTAAAAAGCCATGAAAATGGAACGGTGGGAAACATCAAAACGTATTAACTAGTACGTTTCAAATCACCCCTAAATTGAATATTGCAAATTGTTTTTTGAAATGGGCACTTTTGAAGTGCATCAATGGACTATCTAAGGTAGATGCAATATCTTCATCTTAAGTAAATACAGTATGTAATTTTCAAGAAATTCTCTGATACGTTTGGCAAGAAAACATTTTTCATAAATAATTTCATAATGACTTAAATCTGTAGGAGCCAACGGTATTAATGCATCTGCCTCCTCTGACACAAGGAGAATACTGACATTCGTTGATTTCTGAACATTCATAAATCAGTTACGAATTCCCATATAACTTCAGGATAAACGTTTGTATAAAAGCTCATCCCCAATCACAATCACTGAGCATGGCTCCAAAGTCATCTAATAATTATTTAAGGCCTTTGTTGCACTCAATGAATGTGATTGTTAGTGAGCTTTCATAATAAGGAGAAAGTTCACATTAAAATCACATGCATACTAAACTATCACCTTTTATGCATTAAAACTATTAAGCACATTTTGCAAACAACCTCTTAAGTTGGTTTAACAACTTTTTTAAATTTTTTCGGGCAAGTGTGAACTCAACTGACAGATGTCGTTTCTCAAATTAACCTAATATTACTATAAACAAATATATTGTTCCCATCATACTTATTTAAATTGATTGCTCGCTTGATGGTAAATGTTAAACTAAAAGATTTTTTCATTAAAATGAAATTCTAATTTTTACTTAAGCTGCAGTAGCGAAAGTCTCGGTGATGTTGTAGATCTACTGAAGCCCTCTCCGACAAAATTTTTTTTAGAAATTTTAAATTGGCTTTGAAATAGTGATAACAAGCAAATGTTCTAAAATTCTAAGAAAAATTGCTAAAAAACAAGCAGTTCCATTTATGCTTCATTACCTCCAACTTGCTTTAGTTTTATGTACAATTTAACAGCTTCAAGATTTTGAGTGAATCAATCTTTGCAAACAGAGAAATAAGTTTAAGAATTTTTTTGGAAATCAAGGAGCTTTATAGCCTGCGCATAGACCTAATTACCAGGTAATACATGTTTGTGAGTACTTCACACTTTTCATGTTCAGTGACGTCAACTTTATTTTGATTTTCTATAACTGAATGCCAATGGCTACCTTTATGAAACGCACTTAAACTGTTGTTGAGTGGTCTACAAAAATTGAAAACAAGGCGATCTACGGAGATGAAATTTGGGATGAAGCTATTCAGAACAATTAGAGTGTGTATAGCATTTTTCCTCTGTATGTAGAACAACCTGATGCTTAGAAAAAGTTCTTTTCCGCGCAAGATGTTTTTATGAACGTTCTTACTTCAAATGGCAAATCTTTTTTCTTTCAACTTCATGTCAACTTCATGTAAACTTCGTGTCAACGTCAATATAAATTTTCTGCTTGAAACAAAACTTGAAGACGATTTAACATAAGCTATCAGCTATAAATTAAACATGCCTTTATTTCTTTTTCTTGCAGGAGAAGACTTCTTCAAGAAAACCCTTTTTAAATATACATCATAATTTTTGCATTTGACTGTAAAACTCTCAGGTAAGCCTGCAACATATATCTGATAAGATCTAGATACAGCAACTTACCGATACATTTCATTTTAGATTTGTCAGGTTTGTATCCAATGGAGCATAGGCATTCGTAGGAGCCTGGGATATTCATACATGAGTGTTTTTTGCCACAAGGAAAAGACTGACATCCTCCGATATCTAATATTTTACCACAAATTGTTTTAAAATTTGAGTAATAGAAAAAAATTATGGCTGTTATACAATAATGGTGTAGATGGTAAACATGAATATTTTCATTTTAGTTTTTCATTTTGAATTTTTCTTAATGGATTTTTTGTAAAATGAAGAAAACAGTTGTTTCAAAATTTTAGTATTTGATTTGAACTAACCAACATTTAAAACTTGAAACAAACTCTATATGAAATAAAACAGGCAAAGTTTATGATCTTAATAAAAATCCTTTAAGAACTATCTTTTTAATCATCATTGAGAAAAAACAGGAACTAAAAGAGATATATTGCTCTGCGTAGTAGGTCTAAAATAACATGACCGTAAATCTTTTTAGCTGTCAGCAAACCCTCTGCTTATTATTTTACTACTTTCTTCAAGAAAACGGATGCCTAGGAATTAAATATAAAATCTTTAGAAATTAAACATTCTAGTCTATTTAATCATTTAATGATGATTTCGTGGGTTTTTTTAACAGTTTTACTCATTAATCAAGATAATTAAGTCTAGCAATTCAGCAAAGGTAAGAAAGAATGAGGATTATTCCCATTCATAATTTGCCTTTTGTTGCGCCATCGATTAAATGAATTGTACTTCCACCAATAACAAATTTTTAAAATTTTAAGGATTCAATTTTAGCGCTCTACAGTCTGTAACATGGCCGAATAAGTGCTCTACATTTTAACTTTAGTTTTTCTTTTTGGAAAACTGAACTCTATGAAATTTACATATCTAATAGCATAGTTTCGAGTGCAATTTGGAAAAAACAAGCACGAATGAGTTTTTCAAAGACTATCAAAATTGCACGTGTCCGAAGGGCGAGTGCAATTTGAAGTCATTGAAAATCTCACTCGGGCATGTTCTCTAAATTGCACGCGAAACTATATTATTACTTATTAATAATATTCAAGAAAAAATTTCTTAATGCTGTTAAATTTTAGCTTCAGAGTACGTATACTTAAGCCGGCAAGTTACTATCGACAGGCTCGTATTTTTAATTCTGTTTTCTATTACTTTTCACATCACCATAACTTCCACACAAAAAGCTAAAACAAGGTATCTACTTTTAGCAGTATTCATATTTTCGTCCAGGAACGTCTTGTTAACAATAAACGCAAAAAGAAAATGTACTTAAAACTTACGCAAGCTATTGTAATTGCTTTGTTTATATGTAACGTTCCCAAATTTGAAGTGTTTTATTTTCTTTAACTCTTAGACCACTTCTTTCTTTGACTAATCAGTCAGGAGTGTATTTTTCAAAATTAAATTGCACTGGTGTTTCGATTCTTTGCACAGGTGTTTCGCATTTTTGCACCAGTGTTTCACATTTTTGCACTAGTATTTACTATAAATTGCACTGCTCTTAACCAATTAGAATTAAGAAATTTTTTCATGTATATTATTTTAAAAATAATCATCCTATATGATGCCAGCAGTTTACCACAAAATACTAAATGTATATAAAGTATCTAATGTAGTAATGACTGTAGTACTCACAGTTTAAATTAGGTCTCTTGCGTTGACAGATGAAATTGAAGTGATACCCACATGTAGCGTCATTCCACCGGAAGTTAAATTTTCTGGGATGAATTACAACACAATCTTCTACACCAAATCTTCTGTTACTAGGTTCTCCATAATGCCATAATGTGAAAGTGGGCTTGAAATTTTGAACTGTGTAGAATTTATTGTCGCTTTTCTTACGAAAAAACCCAATAAACACATTCGTATGGCGTAGTTTTATCATAATTCTTGAAAGGGCAATATTCTCTGCCTTGTTCTTTGGAACAGCAAGATATCCTCCCTTCTGTTGACAAAGTTTTTTAGCTTGATGCCCATTTGCTTTTTTTTTACTGAAGAAATAGCAAGATGATTCTACATCATACCAACCAGAAGGACAGCTTGCTAAACGATTGAAAAATCAAGAACATGGACCTGTTTGAAGAATAATCTTTCAAAATAGAATAAGTATTTTTTTAAACATAGAAATATTCATTTTAACATCTTTATATCATAGAATTTTTCTTAAAACTGAAATAAAAAAATTAGTGTTGGAACTGGTGGAGACTTGATGTAATATTGTGGAGGAGTGATCATTTAAAAAGGTTTTAGAACGTCTAGAGTGATGCCTGTCAAAATATATTTAAAGTTTTAATTTACATAATTCATACTTCAATGAAGCCAAGCTATAAAAAAGTCATGATGTTCTAATGCATATTTTTGGAAGTGCACAGTACTGTCAAACCAATGAAGAATAACATGAGTAACATCTCTACTATGTCAAAAATTTAAACCTGCACGTAGATGATTTTTACTTCAGAACCGTTAATGAAAGTTATAGTTAATGATTGTAATAAATCCATACCATTGCATGAGTTACATTCTCCTGAATATCCTTTTATACATGTGCAATTCAATGTTCCATTAATTTTAGTATAGTATGTGTTTGGTCCACACAAAGGAAATCGAAAAGTGTTTGTCGCTATAGATGAATGAAAAATAATATTTAATCAGGGCTTTTAAATGTACTAAAATAAAGCAAATTCCGAAGAGGGACATCTCGTTTTCTTGATATTCAAGATATTACAAGAGTTTGAAACAAAATAATGTGTAATATTTCGTCTTTATTCCAAAGACATCATCAGACTTATGGTTTACAATGCAGGCTGCGAAACTTTTATATATTTACAAGCGGAAATGGCAGTTATGTAATTAGAGAACTATAAGACTAAAATATACTAACATTAAAATAGAGATAGTTTCTTACAAGCTTTAAGACCACTTTTAAGTTGTGGCATATCGCGTTTTATCAAAAGTGCTTCTAAGATGAGAAGTTGATTAGGATTATTATTTTTACAGTGATATAATATTTTGGTATTACTAGGAATCAAGTTACAAGTTAATACCAAAATATTATATCACTGTAAAAATAATAATCCTAATCAACTTCTCATCTTAGAAGCACTTTTGATAAAACGCGATATGCCACAACTTAATAGTGGTCTTAAAGCTTGTAAGAAACTTTCTCTATTTTAATGTTAGTATATTTTAGTCTTATAGTTCTCTAATTACATAACTGCCATTTCCGCTTGTAAATATATAAAAGTTTCGCAGCCTGCATTGTAAACCATAAGTCTGATGATGTCTTTGGAATAAAGACGAAATATTACACATTATTTTGTTTCAAACTCTTGTAATATCTTGAATATCAAGAAAACGAGATGTCCCTCTTCGGAATTTGCTTTATTTGTATTATTTGAAATTGTCTGCTTGTCCTGGTTAAATGTACTATATACTTCAATCAAAAAGATGTTATCAACTTCAGTTTATAACCCCAAAAAAGAAATTTGTGTATATTTTTGCATGTCTGAGGAAGAAGATTCGTAATTGCTACTATTGTAAACGACATCACCTTGGACTTGAATGTCTTTTGTCTCTTGTTGTTTAAATGGCTTATTTTATTTACTTGTGCATTAACTGGGCTTTCTTGCAAGTAACATTCTTAACAGTGCCATTATCAATTTCATTACAAATATATTGTTTTTGCTGTATATAGTGCAGAACATTTTTGGACCCTGCATTTTTCAATTTTTTGTCATCTATTTTACGTACTTAAATGTGAGAGTTTTGACAAATTGATTGGTTGATTGATTGATTTATGTATTTATTGATTGATTTATGGAAATGATTGATAGAATTGTAGCTTACCGTTTAGTCTTGCGTTAATGCTATGTATTACTGCCAAACTATAACGACCATTACCAGTAGGAAAGAAAAAATTCCAATTCTTACGTTGATCTGTTATGTTATGGACACCTACGATGCTTTCTTTCTTACTATTTAAGAAGTAAAGAAAATTCTCAAATATTACCATGGGACCTCCTAATATTCCAAAACCAATCAAATTTTGTGCTTTGTAATCACTAGAAAACACTCTCCCATTAGAAAAGTGCCAATAAAATTTCTTTTTATCCATGTCAATTGTTAGATCATTTGCTTTTGACTTAAGAGGAACTGACAAAATGCAATGTTTATGTTTGGCAATGCTCCATATCCAAATGACACGTTCTGTATCTTCCGCCAAGAAGAGATACCTGAAAAATATGTTTATTCCTACATTGTTTTTAACTACTATAACAAACAAAAACTAAGCAGATTGAAATATGTATGAATTGCAGTAATGTAAATTCTTTTTGTAAATTATTCATTCATTGACCAAAACATAATTTGTTTTTATGCCATTTTGACAAATAGACTTTGTTTTTTTACAGGTACAAGACTAGTTTGAAATTTCGACAAGATAAAAAATTTTTGTTTAGCATATGAACGACTGGATTAGCTACTATGAACATGTTCATATGAAATATTTTAAAAGTTCAACAAGACCATTACCATCTGATATATTTATGTAGTACAAGATGATACCTAATCCGATTACAAAGTTCATGTATAACTCAATATTTTAGACGGAAACAAGAAAATTTGTTTTATACAATTGAAAATCCTCAAATGGATTATCTCCTTGAAATAGACGACCTCCAATCGAAAAGCGACAAAACAAGCCTTAATATTTGAAAGATTTAGTTCGTATTTTTTACAATTAATAATATCAAGGGTGTTTTATTGTTGATAGAGCTACAAAAAGCACAAAAAAAAGCAAAAAAAATTAAGATGATCATACAACTATCACCCTGTGTTTCAGTTCTGTTTGGTTTTTCTAACTGTAAAAACACTTAAAAATGAATCTCAAATAGCTTAATACGCTTGCAAATTAACAAGAAGAATTTTAAAATTGCCTTACCCATGTTTTGAGTCAAATGCAACGCAAGAAAATTGTAAGCCTGGTTGAAGCCTCATAACACTCGTATTTTTTATATTCAGATAAATTTGGTAGATAATATTCGTGGAGTTAACGTAAAAGATGCGACGACCAATCCAGTCAACTGACATATCATGAACGGAAACATTTTTCGCAAAAATTTCGTTTCCAGTTAAGTCAAAATTTGCCCGTCTGATGTCCTTATCATTGATGTAGTAGAACATATTCTCAATTACATCAATCTCAATGTCATTATATCTTGATGCATGGTCAAAATTACTATTTATGGAGCCATTAATGGTGCTGACATGAATATCTCCAGTAATAGAATCAATAGAGTATATTTGATCAAAGCTCAAAATAATGAAATATGGCTTTGGATAAACACCTAAATAAATAATAAAAAATAAATAAATAACAATGATGCAGGTGGAATAGAAAAATGCAAACTTTTATAGACTTTAGGATCATAATATTGGGTGAAAACTAGAAAGAGTGTTTTTAGAAAGAGTTTTTCACTGTAGAAATATTACTACTAACTGAAATTATATTGGCTGCATAACTTCTACCTATTATTGTTGCATATTATTTTTAGTGCTATGAACAAGAAACTATGAAAATTTGTCTAATCTAAAGATTATACCTTTGTAAAAACACATTTCTGTTTGCATTTGCATCATTTCTTTGTTATACTGTTTTACTTCCTTGCATACAGTTGTGTTATCCTCATTGCCATTTTTATCAACGCAGGTTTCCATCCATTCTTTCACGTTATATTTTAGTGTCTCTAAGCTTTTCTTGCAGATTGATATGTCATCATTACCATTTATTATATGCACACTAATAGACAAGATTATAAGAGTCCCAAGAAATGCTTTTGTTGAGCTTGATATCATCTTTGTTTTCTATTTGTTAGAAGGTGGACTATTATTAATTTCTTCAAAGCCTTCGTAGTAAAAAACATTAACTTTTTTTATAAAAGGCTAATCATCTATAAAATCATATAATCAGTTTGTTCTTAACCTTTTTTGTATAAATCAAGTAATGATTTTTATAGTGACGTAACATTTTAACTTCCTTCTCCAAAAAGGACTTTCACGTTTACTTTCAGAAAATTGATGATGATAAATATTGTTGCAATAGATTAGACAAATTGTTCATTATAATGACTCATGTTTACAACAATTCATCTAAGTAGAGTTCACCAGCGTAGAACTTGCTTTAAATAAATAGAAGTGAGGTTTCTAGGAAACGGAAACATAGACAGAAATAATACATTTTAATGTCCACTGTAAGGAAATGACGCAAAATGTGAAATTCACCAAGAGCAGTTTAGAAAAAATTTAAAATGGGTTAATTTCAAATTTCCTCATGTTAACTCAGTTTACCAGATGAATAGGAAAAACGTATTGCTTAATTAAGCCAACAAAATTGAGTGCAAAATAGTCTGTTGCTTAGTGTTTAACAGACTCGATGGCCTTTCTGTAACTACATGTCGTGTAGTTACAGAAAGGGAGGCCGTTAAGCAATACATTGTATTTTGTTTTGCAACATCTGTAAGTCGTAGAAAGAAGTTCGACTCCCATAATTATATAAGTTCTGAATTGAATGAAATTTATGAGCATTTTGACAGAACTGCTAAAGTAAAAAACGTCTAAAGAATAAATAAAAGAATCCAAATTTTCAGTTTTAAAAAGTTTTTACTTCTTCAAACATTTTGTCTCAGATAATTAAAAGGCGTTCTTAATCCGTCAAAAATGTTCTTGCAATATTGAATAATCGTAGCAGAACAAACAAGAGACGTGAAATGTATCATATGTTCTGCATGCATTTCTTGCTCTTTAAAATGACTTCTGTATTGATGTTTCATGATGATTTTCCCTGTTTCAATTTGTTAAATTGTTTACCTCTTTTTCTTTATCATTTCTCTCAATCCTAAATCTTAGTTTAAATTACCAATTTAATATTCTTTATCACACATGCC